CTTATTCACCAAGTCTTTTATTTGAATATTATTTCTAATTAATAAAGCCGAAGTCTTTAACAAAAAGGCTAATACAGATTAACTATCAATCCTAACGAAATGAATAAATGGTTAAGAAATTGAGATTCTAAATTGAAAATCTCAACTTTAAGTCTTGAGTCGGATGAGAAGAGATTTGAAAATAAGAGAAGGTTATCCCTTCTTATATAATTTATTATTAAATGTATTAAAAAAAAAAAAGAAATACTAGATCAACTACCTGAAAGAGAAGTGAAACGAAGCATGCGCAGATCTTGTTTATGAGGTGGTTGCCATCAAGCAAGCTAGAAAGCTAACAATTTTTATGAAAATGATATTCTTACAATATTATCAAGTATCGTAAATTTATTTATAAATATGATTTATTGTGATAGGCTTGATTCTTTTTATATTTAAGATTCCATAATTTATAAAATTGTATATATTCACTAATTTGGGCTTCTTTTAAAAATATTTTTCGGTTCTTTAGTTTTGAATTTTTTTTTTTTGTTTTTATCTTTTACTATTCTAAAAATATATAATTTATTAAATATATTTTATATAATTTTAAGATATTAAAAGACTAAAATCTATAGCTATAATTACATCTCAACACTCTCAAAAGAAGCCCTAATAACACGTACTCATTATAAACTTTTGTCCCACAAGGGACATCTTAGTAATTAAAAATTTGAATCTTCAAGTTAAATATATTAAATTTAAATTATGAGATAAGTCAGTAGATGTTGGGAAAGAAAGAGCTTTTTAGTTTTTTATTAGCCAAAATAATCATAATTTTATAAAAATAAAATAAGAGTACAAAGATAATTCCAACCGTTTACATCATCGTAGCTATTAATTTATATGGCTATTAATCCTAGATTAAATGTCAATTTTGATTCTCCAACTTCAAAGTTTGTACAATTTTCATTCTTCAATTTTTTAATACATTTTTTTGGTCCATTAACTATAAAAAATATATTATTTTAGTTTTTTCAACAATTAGTCCATTAAATCTATCTGAGTCTGCATATTTTTAATTCCTCAACTTGTAATATATATACATTTTTCATCCTTTAACTTCAAGTTAAGGGATTAAAAATATGTATATTTAGATAAATTTAATAGATTAGTTGACGAAAAAACTAAAAAAATGTGTTTTTCATAGTTAAGAGACCAAAATAGTGCATACAAAAATTAAAAGATAAAAATTATGTAAAACTTTAAAATTGAGAGACTAAAATTGACATTTAACCTTAATCCTAGTACATCATCATAGGTATTAACCTTATTACATTAAGCTTTATCAGTTCCAAAAGAATTTAAACAACTATCCCTGAATCGTCCTTTTGCTTTTGCATGCTTACTGGGGATTCTCAATCCACAA